TTAGGTAGTGATGAATTTTCTCCAAATCAATCTACTGACCTGCTTCATTCTTGTAAAGCATACATGGGTTTGGCTTCCGAGTGTGACACTCACGCTAAAAATGTCTGCTGGCAGTAAATAAACGTTTGTTTGTTTTATCCCTGCTCTAATTTCACTGGCCCTCCAGCAAGGAGGGATGTAGCAGGGTGCTGGGCATGTGTTAAAATTAAATCATCACTACATTTCTCTGTAACAACTTCTCTTGGGCTATGAGACCATACCCTATCAAGCTGTCATACAGTCAAGTTTCATCTGCAAAATAATTAACCGTGTCACACAATAAACTACTGCAAGGCTGCTTTAGAATGTAGTTTCTTCAGGTCTTAAATTGGTTTGTTTTTTTTTTTTTCCTTTTAGCCCACCCTTGCACTATTATGGCCACTTAGTATCCATTCAACTCTGAACCACTTTTCTTCTCAAGCTCTTCCCCTCTACCCCATTCCTCACCCTGACAGATCAATACTACTACCAAGGGCTGTGTTTGCCAGACACAGAAAAAAGCTGCTCTCTTTCCCAAAATCCTCTCCTAAAAGTTCCTTTAAGGACTTGTTAATAATCTGAACTTTAGAAGTGCATTAATCGAGACTTACAGTGGTAAGTAAGTAAACCTGTCTTCATTTCCCTCTCTTGTACAAAACCGGTACTGAAGCTTAAGATTGCTGTGACATTCATTGTCTTCTCCACATCCTTCTTTTAAGAACTCCACCTAAATAAAACCAAACAAATTTTACCGCCTGACACACACAACAGTAGCTTAAAAGGAGCTTTCTAAGCACACTGAATAAAGCAACCACATGGAACTCACAAGGCACTTTCCTGGACAGAGTTCAGATTTTAACCTGACTTAATTCTTGCCTGTTGTTTTGCTTTGTGAGATACAGCCCTTGATGCTGGTAGTTTAGAACTGTAAATGTGACTAAAAAGGAGAGTTGGATATTCTAAATGAGAAGTACACTTCTTATGAGAAATACATCTTTAAGTCTGATTCTTCAATGAACACTGAGGAAATGAGAATTTTTAGTAGAGATATTCCCTCCCTTCTATGTCACTGCTGCAGTCATTGCTCAAATGATATCCCAGCATCCTAACAGTGGAAGAATTGAGAATGTACATTATCTTGTTATGTTGGACAAATGTTCCCAGCAAGAGACAATGAATTTTCATTTTTAATCAAAAGTACATTTCCTCCTAAACTTACTGGGGAGAGGGAAGAAACCAAGGAGCTATACCATCTTCACTTTTGATGCAGAACACAGTACACAGTTCATAACATGTTGTAACAAGTTCAGAACAAAATATAAAATAATAATCCAATAGTTACATGTCCAGTGCCACCCCAGTTATTTCCTTTGGACATAATTTAGTTTTCTACAGTCTTAAAGTTATTTGTAGGAGCACAGATTTTTGTGAATATGTGATACCAAAGGCTTACTTTTGTGGTCTCTGTTTCAGATTCATTTGCATTTAGAATTGGTGTAAGATCTGGAAGTGCACTCTCTTTTCTCCTGGATGGTGATTCCAGGCCAGCAATTTTAACACTGACTGATATTGGAATGGGACGTAGCTTATCTTTAATTTTTTCCTGTTAAAATATTTTAAATTGCATCATTAGTATACAGTGCAGAGAAAAAAAAAAAAAAAAAACAACACAAAGGTGAGCTTTTGTACGCTATGTAAATTCAGCATTTTCTAAAATCAGGAACACAAAGAGCCCAGCGCTATTGTCTTTTTTTCCCTCTGGTTTTCCAATCTGAAAATTTCTCTCACCAATAAGAATTCCTATGAACCACTGACTGTAATTCAGGCAGGTGAAATTCACACAGCTGTAGTAAAATAACACACTGGAACAGGTTTGAGTAACATGGTCTAGTAAAAGGTGTCCCAGCCCCTGGCACAGGAGTTAGAATTAAATGATCCTTAGGGTCCCTTTCAACCCAAACCATGATTCCATTCTATAAATTAAAGTTCTTCAATCTGCTGTGATCAAAAGCAGCCTTGGAGGCTGGCTCATTCTGCTGAGCCATGGAGAGGGAATCTGTTCAGCCTCTGGAGCAGGACCACCTCTAGGCACCACTACAGCAAGTCAAGAGAGCACATACCAAGCTTCCTTGCCTTGCCCATTTGTCCACTCCAAAACCCATGGGTTAAAATTCTTTTCCTGAACAGTCACACCATAAAATTCTGTAACAATTATCTCTGTTGGAAGCAGCTCTCCATTTTTGGAACTTGGTCCCTCTCTATGGTTCTAAATTAGTTCAGCTCTATTGACCTCCAGAGTGTGATGCACTGGCTACTAGTTTTTATCCATCCTTTGCAAGAAAGACAACAGGAGCAAGCAGCATGTGTGTAGAGAATAGTAAACTATGGTGGGTTTTTATTTTTGAAGTCTTTATTGCATATGACGTTGAAATTATATACAAAATTATACAAAAAGGTTCCTTCCATGAGGCTGCCAAAAAAAGAGCATTCTTTTGTTTTAAGTGCATCTAAATGAAAGATAAATAAAATACTCTCCCCTACCTGCAGTATAAGCTTTGTAGTCACACACTCCCAGGAGTTCTGTCCCCTGAGGGTTGTACTTGCAGTGAACTGATCAGAGGAGTGGTCATTGAAGCGCACCCTGGAGGGCAGGCCCAGCTGCCGCCTCTCGTTTTCCACTTCAAACGTGTAATTGATCTCTACGTGAAAAAACAAAGTAGGTCACTGTAAAAAAAGAATCATTGCCATTTTAAAAACAACTTTAATTTCACAAGATATGATCTCTCAGCATTATTCTAGAAGACTGTTCCAGACAGTGCTGGGCTTCATAAACTGTTTTCAGTCATTTTAAAAAAACCTTCTTCCATGTCAGTTTTGTCCTGCCACACCTGAGGGCCAGGTACCCCGTGTATGAATCTAAAGAAATGTTCTAAACCAAGTCCTGCTATTCCCTAAGTAAACCGTTCCTTTGGGCACGCGGGGCTGCAGTTGCTGTACGGAGCCAGCAGAGGGCTGAGCTACCCGCTGCAAATACCCCAACTGCGCTGAAGGGGATTCCTCTTGCGTCCCAAATGGCACCTGAGAGACAGCAGGATTCGGTCAAGGTACACTGGTAATTGGAACACTGAAAGCAGAAGTACAACTAGAGATGTCCAGTTGTGTGCTGAGGCATGTTTTCCTAGATCTGAACTTGGTGCATCTTTTAATGATTGCTTCACCGAGCTAATTCAGTGCTGCACAGACGGAAACAGCGCTGAGTGTGCCAAGGCACTGAGAGCTGCAAGCTCATCATCTGCTAAAGGACCAGCAGTCATTCGGGCACAGCCTTTGGATTTTAAAAATAACTGAGGAACTGAAGATAACACAGGAGAAAAAGGGTCATTGGGCTTAAAGTTCTTCTATTTCCTCTCAAAATCCTACACAGTTCTCCAAGAGGTAGTAACAGCAGCAGTGTAACAAGTGCTTTACCTCTTTATGGCACAGTCTTCCAGTCTTCTCCTATTAATGCAGACTTTTTATTTCAGTTAATGATTTGCACAAAACCATTTTCATGAATACAGGATACGTTCATAGGGTAAGCCTCCAATAAGAAAAAATGCTCACTAATGATGTATAAAATTGGCCTTAAAATAGATTTGTGATTCTCTAAAGGAGCACTAACCTAGAGAGGCAAAATGGTTTGGGTCTGTATAGAAGCCATTTGCTCACTGGCAGTTGTATTACTTAGAAAGCTTTAGTCTGTCATCCATAGAACAGCTTAACACACCAGCAAGACTCTAAATTCAGACTGTGCAACAGCTGAGCTTAGCACTGAGTCACATTTTAAATTTGTCAGTCACTGTCTGAGATGAGTCACTATAATTTGAGTAATATGTTTCCATGATGAACTCTAAAAAAAAACCCAAAAAAAAACCCAAACCATGTGACAAACAGATCAAAAATATTTATCTTCAGAACTTACTTATTCTTGGATTTAAATGTCTGGGGTTTGCAGTATATTTAAAACATGCTTTCACATTCATCCTGTAAAAAGTACCAAGAAATTAGTATTAACTTTTATTAAGGCATGGTCCAACAGAATGAAACATTTTAGCTGATCAGACTTATGACTGTGGTATTTACTGCTTACTAGACTGAATTATAAAGCAAGAAAAAATGTTAATAAGCAATTAAGCATTTGCTCTTATGTTTCTACTCAAGACAAGCTGTTCAAGCCAGGATATTTGGCTTGTGTTAGAAGTCTGAAGAGGCAAGGTGACATTTATTTTCAAAAATGAACATTATGAGAAGGGCATATCCCACACCTTGTCTTTAGCACAGCAGCCTGAAGAAATTCAGGAAGACAAAATGAACATATGCAGATGCCTTTGCTTAACCTGCATAACTCTCATATCCCTTCACTTAAACATACCACTGAATGAATTTTAACAGCAGAAAGCTCAATATAAAGGCTTCTGATAAAGTAATTTCTTTCTTCATTTACCTGATTTCACCATGGTCCTCAGGGTTCTTTTTCTTTAGATCAATTCTATCAGGCTGTACTGTAATGTTTCTTCTAATGCTTATCACAGGCCGAGATCTTCATTTGGGGGAAAAATGGGGAATAAAAAGAAGATGTAAAAAAAGAAGTAGTTTCTGTTAAGATTAATGAAATAATTAATGTGAATATCAGATTCCCTCCACACCCGCATTGATTTGCAACAAAGACACTCCAAGAAACAGTTTGGCTTTGACACTGGTTAGAAAAAAACCTGAAAACTATTAAAAGCTAAGCAAAGGTCACCAAGAACAACTACAGATCCTGAGGGGGAAGCGGGCTACACTAATGTGATGTTGTTGTCTATACACTTATGAAAAACAGAAAATTCAGTGGTGGTTTCTACCACCAGTAGTAATTCAGCTCCTGGGAACAACTATAGGTTCTACAGATTCATGTTCACAAGAGCTTTAATTTTTGTATTTCCTGCTTCCTCTGTATATAGGCTGTAACCATACTTCTGCCTGACAACTTGTCTTTTCTCTTTAATGGAAGTGAGAAGACATTTTACATGAACAAATGAATGAGCCGATCCTGTTCTCATTAAAGCATCGAAAGGTTGTTTAAAATAGCTGGTAAGCCACCTCCTCCCTTTAACTGGGCCACTCCTTTCACTGTTTGTCACCAGAAGAGGTTTTTGTTCTCACCTTGATAAAAGTTTTTGTCCTGCCTTTATCAGCAAAAGATTAAAGCTCCTTTTGAGTAAGCAGAAAGCTAAATAATCTGACCAACTCCTCTACCACCTACTCTGTTCTCTGCCACAAGCTTTTCTTGGGCGCTGTTCCAATGTATTTAAGAACATTTACTATCATGTGCACTGCAACTATACACCTTAGAGATGGGAGCATAAATTGTAGGAAGGGCTGTTCTGCCTGAAAAGTAAAGCCCTGGTGTAACTAATTAAGGTTCCATCTATAATACCTGTACACGTTTACAGAATCTGACAGGGAACCAACAGCAACATCGGGGTAGGAATTTTTATCCAGGTCCATATTTCCAGCAATAGAGTAGCCAAAGAAATTTGTGTTTGTTTTTTCACCATCAAGAATCTAAAAAGCAAACAGATTGAGGGAATTCAGATATTTAAAAGTGATAAAGGTAAAATAAGTAACAAGTGAACATAACTGTCTTACAGCCAGAGACAAAAGAGGGAGAGAGATACAATGAAATAGGACCTGTGAAATAGGACCTCTGTGTTCAGTTCAGCTAAAGGATACTGAAGTGCCAGGATGATTTGCTCTTCTTCCAAGAAGTTACTTGGCAATAGAAGTGAGTACCAGAAATTACTGATCTGTCGAGAGCATAGTTCATCTTCATTTACAGTATTTATGGACTATGAACACTTGAAACGGAAGAAGTATTCTGCAAAGTATTCAAGCAGTATTCTAGGGAGTATAATGAAGTTCCATTCCCACCCTGCAAACTGGACATAGTGACCCTCAAAACAAAACCAAAAAAAAAACCCAAACCAACCAACAACAAACAACCAAACATTTTTAAGAAGGAAGTGAAATAGTAGTAATGAAAGAGAAAACAAAGTAAGTAATTGTTTTCAAATCACCAGGTTTTTTTTTAAACCCAGAATTTATTTATCTATACATCTTTTTCCTTCTGCACATATTATAAGTGCCAATGGACAGCCCCAGAAATAAAAATATACATTAATAGCAGGAATTCCTAATCTTTCCTGTCAGCAGTGCAATCTTTGAAGGGCCTTGCAACTTTCCTGTGTACCCAACACCCCAGTAATAGCAAGGGAAAGGAAGATGGATAGTAGCCCCGTCATTGCTTTAATTTTGTTCAAGAACAATTATATAATTATATAGTAAAGGTTATTTCATTACCTGTGCTGGCTTTGTATTAATTCCATTCTCGGATCCATGATAAATGTACACTTTGCCAAAACCATCATATGGAGCCCCTACTGCAATATCTGGTGAAAATAAGTTGTAACATATAAAATCATTCTTGCTCTTTCTGCAGCATGCAATCAAAGGGTAAGACGTTGCAAGTCTGGCATTGGCCAGACAATCTCACACATTTTTACTGTCATTGTTTTCCATTTACCTGGATATCCATCCTGATTAATGTCCCCAACATTTTCCACTGCAAGCCCAAACATGGAGTCAGTGGTTCCGTTTAGGCGAAGAGGCTTCACCCCTGCCCATTTGCCTTGGCGGTTCATGTAGACGTACACGGCACCCCCGATATCCCCGCTCCTGTCAAAGTACTGCGGGGCCCCAACAACGATGTCCTGCCAGCTTACAAGTAAAAGAAAAAAAAGGCAATGCTTTTGTAGAAGAACTCTGAAGAATAACTGCTCAGACTGTGATCTCAAGATCAGCTGCCCAGAGAGCTGCTGAAGAAAGACTAACATGTGCATTAACTGGTCAGGCATCCACAGCCCCACTGACACTGCAAGCTGGTTTATTCCCTTGAGAGCATACAAAGACCTTCTGTGGTCTTCCTGAGGTATGAGACTAGTTTCTTGTTTCTTTGTTTACAATAATTGTTTAAATAAAACTCTTTATTAGAAAGGTAGATTCTATCCTGATTGATTCTCAAGAGGCTCACCATTTCCTCCAGGAAAACATGGAAGGTGGGCTTTGTCATTCCTTATATTTCTAATGTGAAAAACCAAAGCAGAAATAAACAAGATCCCTATCCTTTATCATACAAGCAGCCGGAGTTAACCACAGACATACCCATCACTGTTGAGGTCCACAACAGCAACATCATAGCCAAAAGAGGAGGCCAGCCCTTCTCCTTCAAACATGTGCTCCAGGGAAAGTGCTCTCTGATTTTTTTCTTTTTTTAGTAAAACAACTGCTCCGCTGTGGTTTGCTCTTGGGGCACCAGACACAAAAGTCATCTCATCTTGGGAGACAATTCCTTTACCAGAGTCCAAAGAGAAACCTTTAACAGAGAAAGAAATAAAGTATAAATTAACTAAGCAACAGCTTACATTGTAATATGAAAAAATAAACATTTCCCCAGCTATATTAAAGTGGTATATGGAATACAAGTTTTGTCTAAAATACAGTGTGCTGTGGCTGGGAATTCCCCATTTCTGTTTGCACTGGTGGATACGTATTTGCAAGTCAAGACTTTTTTATGTTCCCACAAACATTCCTCCATACATTACAGTTAGTATTTCCCCACAAAACACAGTACTTCATTGCTCACTTGGACCTGCTTTTCACAGACACCAAACATGTACAGCTTGGACACAATTACAGCTTTACCACTTGAATATAGCTTGAGTACTTCACCTCTGGCAAAATGATCAGAAAACCTCCTAAGTCAAGTCAGTATCATTGTATTACAAACATGCAAACTGTTCTGCACAAGCATTCTCATATGAATGATGTATGCAGTATTTGAGAATCAGCTTACACAGTAATGGTGAAATTAGCAATTTTTAGTTAATGCTGCCCTAAAAATTACCTGTTCAAATTAAGTTAGTCTTACAATACATTTTAAAATATGAAAAACCAAGTTAAAAGACAATACTGCATATACCAATATAGCCAGTAAAGGCCAAAGTAGAAAAATGCCCACTTTGCAAGGAAGGAAGATACCAGCCAGATGGGAGTCTCCCTCTGAAACACTTCACCACTACTGTGGAAACTCTCAATTACAGCAATTCACAATGAGACAGTTCCAGAAAAAACTGAGGGAGTCTCAGCTGGGGAAGGATAAGGTTTGGAGAAATGCATGACAAATCAGCATTTCTCTGAAGCCTTCTTACTTTACTGTCTCCCCTTTATCTGAATCCCTGTTTCTTTCATGCTTTACTTATATTTGATATGAGAGGGAATAGTGGGGAGAGGATCATGACAAAGGTCTGGAGATCAAGTCTGACCAGATGCTGCCACCTCAAGTGGTCACAAACCTAAGTAGCTATTCATCATTACATCCACTGACTTGTCCACCTGTATGCTGGGAGGCAATGTTTTGTACACAAACTGATCTGGATGAGTGTCAGATACAGCTGTCAAAAATAGAAGACCTATAAATATGAGTGAAAGATTGAAGAGAAAAAAATAGTAGTTAAGCAAAGCACCTATAACCACATTTGCTTACGGTCTAAACAGACAGAACAGTAATGCCTAGGATGAGCTGGCTTGTCTGGAAGTGGTTCTGATTATTACAAATCAAGGCAGCATTTACATTTAGGAGAGAAATGCATTGGTTACATAACTGGAAAAAGTATATGACTGTTCACAGCAAAAGGCACCGGCCTCAGTACTTCTCAATGCTTATTCCACCAGAAATGCTATCAGCTTGTCTAATCTAAGTTCTTAGGATGATTTTTCTAGTTACCTTTACACCAGTAATTACTGCTGATATTTAACAGAAGTTTATGTTCTCTTTCTCCTAACATATATGTAGCTCTAAGTTTGCTCTCTTCTTGATGTGCTTTTTTACTTTTTACATTAGCAATGCCCTTCCCATCTATTCAGCTTTCCATCACTCACACAGCAATTCCAGTCTCAGGTTACCAAAACTCTATTTGTTGCATATGCCAAAAGCAGTGGATCAACACACCACAGAAATCTGCACTGGAACAGAAGGATTCTTTACACTTAATGCCTTTCCAAAAACCAAGCATAGCCTTTTCAGTGGGTCTCCCTGGTGGTCAGAAAGGTCATTGGCCTAAGGACATATTCCTGCTTTCTGACTGCACAAAGAGCAAGAGATTCACCTTCTGCAACACACACACAAGTAAAATATAAACAGTACACTTATATTATGGCATTTTAAAGGTCTGTTAAAAGCCACTGGAGTTTTAAAAACGTGAAGAATAGAAGAATTGCACTTACCTACCAGGAGAGAAAATCTACAACCTTAACAGCAAAACCTCAAATTTTTATAAACTTTCTGATACTACATAGCAGAGACTGTGCAACTAAGGACTACAGACCCATTCATTGTACTGACCCATCACAGTGATTATAATCACTCCCGGAGATTCCATAGGCCCTTGGCACAGCTCTTGGATCTCACATTACAGCAGCAGCTCTTCTAGGTACCTCAGCAGTATCATCTTACACTTAAAACTGGCCCATAAATGTGGAGGGAGGCTGTGAATTATCCCAAAGAGTTAACATGTTACAGGGTCCACAATGGAACATCTGCTCCCATTTCTGATCATCACACCCGGCTGGGACCACAAATGTTTAAGAGACCTAAAGAGATTTACCACATGTACTTAATCCTACCTAAGTAACTGTTAGCTGGAACAGGAACTAGATTCTTATCCTGGCGGCTCTCATCACCAACTTCGTAAGGCCCATCATCAAAGATACCCAGATCATAAAATGTCTGATTCTTTTGCTCTGCACGAACCACCCCTGAAAAAATGAAATGATAAAATAAAAGCAAACAAATGATAAGTGAGAAAAATAACTAATGAATGTTCCCAACTTATATTAATTATGATGAATGACATAGTGACTGCTGTTAAAATGGGACAAACACAGAATAGTGCACTGGCTTAGTGTTTTGTCTCTGGTTCTGTGTGCCAGAAGCTCATGCTGCTCTACAGAGCCATACAAGGATCTGGAAAACACAGGATACTAAGGAAATTCTCAAAAAAAACCCCACTGAACTGGTTGGTCATAAACCACCCTCATCCTGTATTTCTTAGCCCTATAAAGCTTCTGTTAAAAAGGAAGTAAGTACACAGGAATTTTTTTAAAAAATTACATTTCATTATGACAAACACCAGCATTATACTTAGAAACAGTACATTTAAGAAGAAAAAAGCTATTGTTCAATAAAAGGTGTGCTTCCCTTTTATCAATTGGCATAATTAAGGTTTTGGCAAGCACAAACATGTTTTTCCATTACACAGAAGAGTACCCTTAGGACTGTACCAGCACTTCTCTGCAATTAAACTAAAATGTTGTCTGCACTCACTATGCTGTTTCAGGTCAGTCAGATTTTGTTGACAGATACGTGGAAGATTAAGTTTTCACTAAAGTACACCTTGTGCCAGAGCTTAACACAGTGATTTTGCACGGTTCATACAGCAGGCACAGGTGTACGAGGGGGGAAAATGCAGTGCTTGGAGGATCACATGTTCTCAAGAGGAAAGTATTTACAGCTGTTGGGGTAATGAAGTGTGATGGGAAAAATTACTTCTAGAGACCGAACTGGGCATTTAGATGCTTCTGAATATCAACTAACAAAGAATGTCCAGGGTTTTTTCCCCTTGTGTTTTGGAGAATCTCCTAGATGGCACACAGTACTTGGCTCTTAGATTATCCATGAAATTTTACATGGACATGCATGGATTTAGATATGAATATATGTAGTGTTGCTGTTTCCTTCCTGCAATCCTGCAGTATTTATTTTGGAAAGTACTGGTTTCCACAAACTTCACAAAGAATAAAGGAGAGAATGTTGCAGAATAAACAAATAGTTCAGCAGCTATCTAACATTTGCTCAAATGCAGAAAAAGGGCTGGTCAAGTAACTCGTACAAATTTAGTAGTTTGTTCCTATATGGAAGTGTCCAAGTAAGCCCTCAATCCCACTAATAAGGGAAAAATTTGCTGTACATATGTGCAAAGTTCCATTATAAATACACACAAAGATATTTAAAGAAACTTCAGTAAATGTTGATACAGAAGAATTTTTACATTATGTAAAAACCTCCATTATTCATAAATATACACAAAGATATTTAAATAAACTTCAGTAAATGTTGATACAGAAGAATTTTTACATTATGTAAAAACAGTGTAAAATCATTACATCCCTATTATCTCCTCTCCCCTTAAAAAAAATAATTGAAACTCTGGATTCAACCTTTGAGAGCAATCTCAGAGGAAATGGGAAGGGTAGGCAGGAAGGAAGCCAAGTCATACCTTTCCAGTTGTAAGTGCCTGGGGCACCAAACACAATATAATGATAGTCTCTAGTAAAAGTAGCAGCAACACCTTGCTGACAGGAACCAAACTTCTCGTGGCCTCTTAAACGACCATCACAAAAACTCCACACTCCATTATCCATATCATCCTTAATAGTGAGGTCCTGGCTCAGCACATAGCACCTTCCAATGATATCCCGGGTTTCCTGCACTGTGTTTACATACTGCCTTTTCTCATAGCGATGCGCACACGTCTGCAAGACAAGAAATAATGATGATGTTTCTGGGTGTGGGACACGGGGCACCACAGAAGGCAGGGCTCCTCTAGCAGTCCCTCCTGCTACCAGCGCTGTAAGGCACCCTGCTGACACACCTAAGTGCAGAATCCAATGTTTCCTACAGGCAACACATGGGAAAGGCTGGACACCTACAGATGCAAGGAAAAGCAGTCTGCTTCATGGGCAAGGAAGGCCACAGGGTTAAATCCCTAAAGCCCTTCCTGATTTCAAGAAGTAAGGAGAAAACCACTTTCTCTCAAAGAAAGAAGTGGCTGTTTCCCAACAGCTCCCAAAGGACTGACACATCCGTGCAGGACACAAGAAGCTGGTTTAACTACCATCTACCCAAGACTATTCAGAACTTGCCCCTTACAGAAAAGTGCCACTAAGCAGAGGCTGAAAGCGTTTCCAGTGGAGGAGAGGGAAGTTGCTCCTACTTCCTCTGCTGGATGTTCCACTTACAGGGTAAATGTCACTGGAGCAGAGCTGAAGCACTAAACACATCCTGTTCCTTGTCCTTTCAGACTACCCCTGGGAAAAGAATTCTCATCAAATATTTAACACAAAGGATGAACAGCCACTGGCTAAGCATTGTAACCACCAAACCTTTGTAAAAAATGTGAACAATCAAATGCCTTTGCCAGCAGTGCTTGTGGAAGACTCAGATGTAGCAGGTTATGTGAAGAGCACACGCAAAGTCTGTCTCAGCTGACAAACCTTTTCTATGGTTCCTATCGAGGCCTAAATGTTATGCAAACAAACACTTGGCTGCTCCACAGTAGAGCACTGCAGTACTGTCCTGCTGCAGAGACCTCCAGGCTGCTCACACCTCATGTAAGAGGTGCACTCCCCACTTACCATGAAAAGACAAGATAGCATTAGTTGATGACCAGTTACTCAGTGAACAGGACTGTTTCCATGCGTTCCTTCCCACTCTGCGTTCTGAGGCAGACCAAAGCTAGTTATTACTGCCTCTAAATGCTTAAATTACCAGATTCACATCCTGCAGTCACCTGCCCCCAGGTTTGGAAGCAGTGATATTAACCTCCAATTAGATGAGGAAGCTTCACTGCACACCTGTTTTATGATGTATGTGGTATCCTGCAGCACCATGAGAGGTTTTTATTTAAAACTGAGAATGTTACTTTTAAAACTCTTTCTCTCATAACTCCCAAAAACCTTTTCTGTTTAATATAAAATAAGAAGTACCAATGTATTGCATAAAATAAAGAATAGCAAATAGTTTTACTGCAGTGCAATCTACTGCAGTACAATGACCACATTAATTCACAGAAACTACTCAGTGGAAGTTCCTGATAAAAGCTGATGTGAGGCTCATCATCTTGGAAAACAGGTTGGTGATAACCTGTTACTTTTACAGCCTTATACACTATTCTTCCCTATTCCTGCAGCTAGTAGTATTTAAAAGAAAAAATGTGTATATGACAAAAAAAATCAATGGACCTCTTGAAAATAAACAGGCCATCCTAGACTGTTAAAAAAGTTATAAAGAGAGGCTACCTCATAGAAAAATAATTTAAAGCTCAAGGAGACATTTAAGTCCTTACCTACAAGAAATCAAAGGAGTAAACTTAGGCAAGTTACCTTTCAGCAAGCTGCACAGAAACACAGACCACTCAGAACATGTACTGTACACCCCAGACATTTTTGTAAGTTAGTCCATTAGCACTTACCACCACATTTCCTCCAGGCCCCTGACTCTGGACAGTTACACCCATCCATTGGTCTTCTTTACTCTCCATCCTTGGGTCAGCTGCAAAGTATCATAAAACAGCTTCAAATATTAACAGTTCACTACATTTTCTTTTTTCTGTTTTTTTGGGGGGGTTTTTTTTGGCTGGTTGGTTTTGGTTTTTTGTTTGTTTTTTTCTTGAAGCCCATGTCAGGAGAGACTCTTCATATACAGAACACCAGCCAGTCTGCAGGTGGCAGTGTCTGTACATTTTATCACTAACAGCATCCATTTTATTAAACTTCTATTACTTCATGTTACATCAACTTACAAAACAGTATGAATCTACCAAGATTGAATATCTCGTAGTAACTTAACAATTAAGCTACAACTTACTATGATGCAAAAAGTAGCTATAAATGTATAAATCCCTAGAAGAAGCTGTCTGATACACTGCCTCAGGAAAGGACATCAAACAAGAATGATCAGACAACTGTTTCAATTCAAAACAAAAGCACTGAAGAACTTACTCTCCTCATCAAATTTGACACGCAGGCAATTTGTATGTGGAGATGCAATGTCACAGCTGTACAGCCCTCCTGTTCTGTTGGCTTGTTGGGCTGGAAAGGCCTTTTCCCGAGGAGCTCCAACCAGCAATCTGCAGGGAAAACAAAATAATTTAAAGGAGTATGTAGAAGGACTACTAGAAAAGAGAAAGACAACAGAATCAGGAAGTGTTTTCACCATGTTGCTAAAGGTTTGATATGCCAACATTTGAAGACGGATGAAAAACTACACCACAGCACTGCTCTTTCAAAGAGAGAAAGGGGGGAGGGGAAGGAGAGAAGCTGTATAGCTTCGTACAATTAATATACCTGCAATTATTTTTATATATACCTGCAAGCCAGTACCTGTATTGTTATTTGTGTTGTTGCAATATTCACTGAGAGTGGTTGATAAAAAGTAGGTGCCTGGCAGTTTTGGGAAAATCATCTTTTTATCAGGACATCAAGTGGGGTATTTTTTGCCTTACAAGAAATCATTGATAAGGGTGGACAAAAGTCACTAAGATGACCAGAAACCCCCAAAATAGTAAATACAATTGTTCTCAGGCTGTCTTCTAGTTTTATACCAGTCCTATGCCACAGTTTGCCTGAATTTAAAGGCACCTTAGTATCTCAGACCAAAGCAAGATCCTGGATAGATCCAGGATCAAGAAAGTGTTCACTGAACTGTTCCAGGCTCTGTGCAAACATGAACTCCCCCTTCTCCACTACTTTGGCAGATACTTCATTTTTAAGCTGAAAATGGTTTGCTTCAACAAATCAATTATCAAGAACAGGCCGTTCCCACAAAGGACTTATTTACCCTATTAAACAGCTACTCTAACAAGCTCTCCTTAGACACTGTTCTGGTAGCCAAATGCAAAGGTTCTTCTTTTAAGCACTGAGTAAAGTAAATTTCCTTCTGTATAGACTGCACATCATGAGTATTATCACGAAACCACCAGCAGGCATATTTATTTGCAAAAGGAGAAAAAAAATCTTGCATTGTCCATTTCTTTGTAGTGTCACACACACAGAAGCACAGCTGCCTCTCAGGCAGCTGACTGAAATTAGCAGCAAGCAGTGTGCAGTAGTTTGTGGAAGAAACATCACACTCAGCTGAAACACCTACGACGAGAGAACAGTGTGTGGGTACGTGCAACGCAGCAGGTGGGATGGATGGATGGATGGATGGATGGATGCTGAACCAGACTGTTCTTCCTGACCCCAGGATATAAACCTGAAAAAAAACTTGAAAAAATATATCTCTGATATCAGAGTGTCAAGTACAGCAAAGCTGGGACTACAGTTGGATCCACAAGTCTCAAAGAGGACCTCAAACCCTCTTTAATACCCAGCTCTAGTTTTGCTTTGTTGTGGCAGTGGGTCAAAGCACACTGCTGTTCCTCAGAAGGCTATTTTTACTAAAAACAAGACTCACTTTTCTTCATGCCCAACAGTAAAGACTGGATCAGTTAAGATAATATGTGTTTTTTCTTATTAAGAAAATGTTTATTCGCTGTCCCTAAAGTAACAAATGGAACAAAATGAATCTATGTGTTATCAGAAAACATGCTTTTTTTAAAACACAAAATTTTATCTGTATTGTGAAACAACCAAATTTTCACTACTTCTATAGAACTAAATTCTCCCACAATCTGAAATTTATCCTCGTCATGAAGGTAAGCCCCCTGAATGCTGAAACCTTCAGGTTAAGTATTTGCCTTTGGACCATACACAGGCACACCATGTGGGTGGGGTTTGGTTTAAAAGGTTTTCTAGTTTTCTCTCTTTTTCAAACATTTTTTCAGAAACATAGCAGTCATCACAAGAGTTTGTAAACTACTGTGATCTTAGAAACACCATCAATAACTGAACTTTTTAATGTTAGCAATGGTACATTTAACTGTAATCTCTTAAGAGTAATTCTTCTGCAAAGCATCTATTTCTGAGTTATTCCTTATGGCAAAATAGATACATTTTCTCCTCAGTTCTGTTATTGCCCAGGGAAAGACAGACTACTTTTTTTAAACATTAACAACCATAACTTTAAGAAAGCAGAGGTACTGATTTCCTAACCTAAAGAAATTTTTATTACTTCTACTTTCTTATTCAAAGTTTTGGGGGGTGGAAAGATGTACTCCACTTACAGAAATTAAAAACCTTCTGTTTCAACATTGTGAACAAAACTAAAAGCTTCTCAAATTTAAATACCTAATTTGTTTTAATTCATCCACCTCCATACTACTGGCAGTGCCAGTGCTGGGTCAAGAAGATGAACCCTGTTCTTTTCCACAGGATAGTGAGACTACGTCCCTCTCTCCAGCTGAATGACCTTTTACAGCACACCGTGATCCTGATGGCAGGAAAGGACCTACTGAAGCACTGGGGGAATAAACAGCATAGCCAACAGAATATGGAATGGGAAGATGTGCCACCTGCTGTAAAATGCTGCAAACATTCAATGCCATCTCAGACACCGCTGAGGTCAACAGCGAAAAATGAAATTGTTCAGCCTTCTTTAAAAATGTAAGGCGTCCATCCAACAGGATCCCAAAGGAAACTGGCGACCTTAGATTCTTCCCAATGCCCACACCCCCCATCCAAATACTGCCTATGTTATTTTCCAGGGTAAACAAAGAATTTCAAAACAGACTTGTTTAAAACCTTCCAGATTTCAAAGAACTGTTACCAGGAATCCTGTCACTAATCTTCAAAGCTCTTCAAATACAAAAACTTGAATTTTCTTAGGTACTTCACTGTAAGTCCTTACCGCACAGGCCAAGAGAAGCACACACTGTGAGTAAGTGCTCCCAGAGGATTAGATCAGCTCAAGTACAATACTACAGTAAACCCTGAAATGTACTTTCAAGTAGCAACCAAAGATCCATTAAGAAGTGGCACAACTCCTTTGTACTTGTTTACTACTTTTCTGCCCTAAAGAACAGAGCAGAGAAGACTAAACCTATGCCCCTGGGTTCTGCCAGACAGGTTACTGAAGGTGATGATTATAATCATTATGAGGATTATCAACGCTATCAGAATCTGTGTAAGAAAGCCACATGCATCTAATCTTTCGTTGAATAAATCAAGCAAAACAAAAAATTCCTTTCAAACACATAGTCATTCTGATAACAGAGCTGCTGTTCAGCTTGTCTACCATTTAAAAGGTACATCTGAAAATCAAAATTGTATTATAAAAGCCAGATTACTTAATTTAAAAATAAAAAGTGTGCACAGAACTACAGAAGTATGACATGAACCATGCATCAGTGTGAATTTCAGTGTGACTGCAGTAATACAAATGAATCAGCTCATATACTGAGCTGTGCTACGTGCTCAGCAGAGTCCTTCCAGATAGAGGACACATTCCAGTCATTACTCTGTGGCTACTTACTCAGCTGTGATTTAATAAAAGAATTTTAATCAAGTTTGAGCTCATTATGCCAAAACCAGGTTAGCTTTTTCTGCAGCTATGCATGTTCCATTTTAGCTTTCTCATTGGCAAGCAAAACCTCTTTCTGCAGGTCAGAGGTAGGGGCAGAGTGAGGGGATGCTCTTCCAGCTATCACCATCTCCTTATATTGGCAGATGAAACATGGACACTTAAAACCTAGGAGCTTTTCCTCTGCAAATGAAGAGTGACAAAAACAAATTCTTAATTTCTCTTCACCCATGCTCACAGTATGATTCATTTTATTCACTGGGACTGCTCCCTGAAAGTCTGTGGACATGGTCTACTCTAACTACTTTCAATTAGGTTTGAATGTTCAAAATCATGTTCCAGAATGCATATTCAGATCACAAAATAACAGCCCAATGTCAAGAATGCAGAGTGGGAGATGCAAATCCAAGACACTCCAACATGCAATTTACTGATTCTTCTATCCCCGTGGTAGGTGTGCCTTGTTACTCTACAGAAAACAGAAGCTCAGCCATACAGTATACTGAACATGAACATCTCTGAGCATCAGTTCCTGTCAGAGGCTCAGCTTTTTATTATTTGAGTTATGATGACTTAGTAGCTAATGTTTACCATGAGTCCAACTCAGAGAAAAGCAGACAATTGCTATTCCTCATGTCAATTACAGAAACAGATGATTCTAACTGTTAACTTGAATCCTGATTTTCCCCACACATCTTGCTTCAATACATACTATAACCTAACTGGGTTTTCCTGGGGCCAATCAGACTGCACAGGTGTTAATCTACAGAAATGTAACATCGTAAACAATTAATATAATTTAATTTAAAATAAGCATCTATCAAGTGACAGTGCTGGGGAAAAAAAACACCTGAATTCTCTCATACCTTGGCATAAAACTACAATGTTATTATAATTAAAACGTGTCTTCCAATTTCAAACTGAAATTCTGACTTTTAACCAAATGAATCAGTCCAGTTGCTCTATCAATTAGAATTCTCTCTTAATTACTTCTTGAAGATACATGATAATAACTGAAGTCCCACTGCCAATTATGAGCATCTGCTGACTTACAGGAACAGATTTACTCCCTCACAGCCCCATATTCATAGCCAAATGTAAGACAATCCCCTTAGAGCTGCAGGATTGGTGTGCAATGTTTAACTACCTGCCCTTCCTGAGAGGCAGGCTCAGGTGGTGCTGCCTGCCCCGCACAGACACCGGTGACCCCGGCTGCACCTGCGTGTGCGAGGAACGCAACAGGGAGAGCTGGCCTGTGCTCTCAAAGCACAACAGGGAGAGCTGGCCTGTGCTCTCAAAGCAGTGTCACATCCCTCCACGGAACCCTATGGCACAGCTACCCCCACCCTACCTCACTGCAGCTTACATTACACCCAAACACAACAGCTGAGGCAAGAATATGGGGCTGTGAGGGAGTAAATTTCACCACTTAGGTCAAGCACTACTCAAGTGCTAGAAAAGGTATCAAGACATCTTACTGACTTTATCTACATCTGGATCAGACCTTTGGAAAAGCGTGTGTAGAAAACATGCTTCATAAACCCACATATCTCCAAGAAGAGGAAGGTAAGAACTGACTGCCCGCATTCAGGTAGGCACCTGCTGTTGACCAGTGTTGCAAAAACGTAACTACAGGTCTGACTCCAGATGCACAAACAGCCTATGAACTGTAGGTTTGGCTGCATTTAGAAGAACCAGTCAGATTCTGGAACAGCACGATTTATTGAATACAACATGCAACGTTCCTCTGGACTGAGGGTGAGAATGCATTAACTGCAGAGCAGCTGCATACAGCACTATCAGTGCCACTGCAATCACAAGCTTAATGCCCTAGGTCAGCGCTCAGCACAGCTGAGGACACAAGGCTTACCAAATTAATCTGAGTCTCTGCTGGGCAGGGGGCAAGGAGGACAAACCTGTCCGTCTGTCCCTGCAATTTCGCTCAAGTTCTCATCCCTCGTTGGAAGCAGAAGTGGGGGACATTTATATCTTAGTCACTGCTACTGTGCTAAGTGCTGTGGGTGGGACTGCAGTCAAATCTTCTGTTCTTTGTGAGCATATTTGCAGAATATGTCTTGGTAGGAAGTGTGCTTGGTTACCACAAAACATTTCTGGGTATCAAGCAGAAGAACGAGACCACAGGGCCTACGCCTCACCTGGCACTGCCACCCCCAATGCCACAGCAACACAAACCACAAGCCCTCCAGGCAATTTCCACACTTGCACCTAGAAGCACCATTGCATATTGAGCTTTGCACTTTCTTCACTCCTTTACACTTGTAACAAGCAGTATTCAGCAAGAGCAGTTAGGTGAACACTGAGAAGAAAGGGTGTAACTTTATTTAATCAGATGTGGCCCAAAAGAGTAATTAAAATCCAAAGTAAAATACACAAGCTTTCCATTTCAACACATACTACAGAATATTAAGCAGTAGGGTGCAGATTTTAAAACCCTCCCTGCTTTAATTGGTAATTCTTGAAATGTTTAGTAGGTAGCTGTGGCTCCTTCTCAGCTAATGAAAACAACAATAAGAACTGGGAGTGGTTTCTGCTCACAGCTATCTGAACTCCCTCTAATACAAGAAACTATCTTGGTTGCTTCCAAAAGGAAAGTCAAAGTTAAGATGTGAAAACCATATCAAAAGCAATTCAGAAATCGTCCAACCTCCTGGAAGTATTCCCTCACTCCACAACAAAATTCTTTTCTTCACTTACAGCCTGGAACTGTCCAAGGGTAACATATGATTTTTCACAACATACTTCAAAGAAAAATTATCACCAATTCATTACAGTTCTATTTTGGAAAAAACTCTCAAATCAAGTAAAGGACAGAGAAGAGCTTCAGTGTTTATTAGAGTAAATATCCTATTCATCAAAGTAAGAGGCTTCCACTGAGTAAATTATATTTTGATTTAAACAAATACAAAAAATAGCAGAGTATCTGAGTTCAGTGCAGACTGTGATATCTCCCAAAGTTTTCTTCATTCCTTAAATTCTTTCCTTTTCCATGGTATCCTTCTACACAGACAAGGCACCACATCTTTGCCAGCCTTTCTTTAAAAGTAAAGGCAAACACATCTGCAGTGCCTGCTCTGAGCCTTAACAGACTGGAGTAGAAATCATGAAAGTGTTTCCTGGGTAAGAAACCATTAACCGCTTCCACATACAGGTAACATAAAGTGGTCACTGGTCTAAGTAATTTCAATTTTGCAAGCTCCATTGAGCATAAGTTTCAAATTGAATATTGCTGTTCTCAGGCTACAATGCTGCCACTGCAGACTTTGCACTTCATTATATTTTCAGAAAGACTCCACAAGGGGGGCAAATTTGGAAACTGACAAAGCTAAATGCCATGAAATGGCTCACCCTTGACTGGACAGTTAGACTCCTGCATCCTTTCTCTCTCCCAGTTCCAGTGCCCTCTTGGGAAAGAGTTTCACTAGATTAAGCAAAATGAAGAAAATAGAGCCACTAGCTCTAACTCAATTTAAATTTTACTACAAAATCACCAGTCACAAGTCCTCCAGGCAGAGACCCCTGATCACAACGTGGGCATCTACAGCCCTCGACCTGAGCTGCATTTTCACTCCCCTGCAATGATTTGGACTCACCTGTTTTTAACAAACACAGAAGATGGATGCATTTAACCACCATAACAGTTCAACATAACTGAAGTTGGTTAGTGGGACAGACACTGTGTGTGAATATTGGTGGCACCACCCCTGCTTCAGGCTTGGATTTGCCATTCCATAACAGAAACAAGTCACAGGACAAGAGCACCACAGACTAATTAGCACAGAAAGATTGTCCCTTCGTACACTCCGGCTGCTAATGGGAACTGGAGCTGAACCATGCGCTCCTCCAAAAAAAAACTTTCCCCAGCAAAATACAACCAGTAACTGTGTCAGCAGGGAGCTTGTCTGTGATGCTTTTCACAGAGACACCCATCACGGTCAGAATGTTATTAACAGCTATTTTGACTGAATATTCTCCGGATCTGCTACTCCACAGCTACATTTTGGAACTAAGTGCAAAGCCATGGCCAAGCACATCATTAATCTCTGTTGCCTGGAGGCTTGGCATTTAAGGATTGCAATTTTCATTTTATTTCTTCAGCCTTTTTTAGGAAACAGATTATGATAGAAGCTAGGAAAAGAAGCCAAAAGCAGCACAAGGACTGGGGCAAGCTACTACAAAGCAAAACTGGAACTACAAAGATACCTGTTGTTCTGGAAAAGCCTCTTATTATTGACTTTCTGAAAGTCACATGGAAAAATAAACACTTTCCCATCACAGTCCAGAGCCCAGCCTGTCTGGATTTGCAACAATTTTTGCAGATCTCATTTCCATTGGTACAAAGCATTTTTCTTAGAAGAAATGGTACAGTCTGCTCCAAGTTTGTGTTTCAAAACCCAGTTTTCCTCTTCAGACACCACTCTCTGGCTTTACTCAGCAGATACCTCATAGTTTTCATATTTGGCAAATACCAAGTGCAACCTGTATACTACTTACAGGTTTAATTTCTCCCTTACAATCTATACATTTTTCAGATTTAAAAGAAAGAGCACCCGAGCCAGAAATAGACCTGACTACAAACTGGTACTGTAAAATATGTATCAGACAGCTTCATAATTTATTTATGATAAACCTACAGGAGAAATAATGATAAGGGGATTTTCACTCAGGTTTTCTGACTTGGCAGTGCCTGGTACAGCATGAAATCCTCTTAAAACAACATGCAGTTTAACTCAAAAGTGACAAGTACACCATTTCAAGAAACTAACTTGGAAGCCTGAGTCCTGGCACTCCTAGCTCAGCGCCTGCCCCCAGTCACCGTGCTGGCACAGGAAGGACTGAACTACAGAGTCCCACCACAGCCAGCTGGGCACAACCCAGCTGCTCTCCACTGCAGATGCACTAAGCTGCAGCCAGCAGCAGGACAAGCAAGCAAGGACAGCTGCAGCAAAGCAGCCGGGGTGAGCCAGCAGTGCCCAGCTCCCTACAAGCACAGAGGGAGCGAGGTGCCCGTCCCCGCGGTGCCAGCACCGCAGCCCCGCCCGGCTGCCAGCAGCCCACACAGCAGGGCCCTCCCGGCCACGGCCTGGCCCAGCGCCGCCCCCGCGCTGCCACACAACCGGCCCTGCAGAAGCAGCTGCTGGACCACGGCTATGATCAGTGTCTTGTGGACATGGCTCACTCCACAGGCTTAAGTAAACGAGTGCATAACAGAAATTAGCAATTACTGTCTCCTGCACTTGGGCTGCTGGCCATTCATACCATAGAAAACCCCCAGAATTCATTTAAACCTCTTCACATTTGCAGGACTTGTCTTCGTATCCCCACAACACACAGCATCTCTATTAAAAGTTCATGAAAAATTAAAAAAGTATCACATGATATATTAGCTACAGGTTTTAGAAAACAAACCAGAAAACAAAAAAAAAAAACCCAAAAACAGTTGCTCACTTGCTTTTCTTTCTGTGGGGGTAGAGGGGATCTGAAAGCAGTGCACCCAGTCAGTATTTGAAGGCACTACTTGTTTGAGAGGTAACAACCTTAACAGGCATATACTGTTCATTCAACGTGCCAAAAGCCATGTTAAAAAAAATTATAGTAGTTCTAACTCAGCACAAAACAAATATTTGAGTTGAAATGTCATTCCTCTATTTCCTTCACAGAATGAAGTACAGCAGTTTCATTTATTGCCATAATTAAACTACTAAAAGGCATGAAAGAAGAAGTACAGCAAGAGGGATGGACATCTTACTGCAGAATCAATGTGCGATATAACACACTACAGCAACTAATACAGCCCTGCAGAATTTGAAGAGCAACTGCTCCCCATGCTAACCCAAACCATAGTTCCTTTACTTATACATCCAGATTATGAGATTCCCCCCTGCTCCTCCTTTTCCAGACTTACCCCCATCTCCCTTTGAATTGTAGGGAGAATACCAAGACAGGTAGAAACCTCCTACACTAGATATACAACCACATAAATTCTGCCTGATTCAAGGTCTGAACAGAAGTTCATCACATTTAGTTAAAATATACCAAGCAGCACCCCAGGGGGAAGGAAGCTCACCCACACCAGACCAACACCGGCACCCCTGAGCTGTGCCATGCCCAGTTGCCAACCTCAGCCTGTGGACTAGAGGAGGACCCCGTGGAGCGGGCTGGAGAATTCTGCACGCGCAGAAGAAGCGTGGACCTGACCTTCCTGATACCTAATCCCTAATAAGAGCTTCCCTAATAAGAGCTTCCCAGAATGAGTACATGAACAGCCATCAAGCACACACTTCAACAGCCCAAAGGCACTTGCATGCTAAAGCACATTCTAAGTACTCCTTCAGTCATAAAGCATCATAGCCCCAGGCTAAATGCCTATAATCGGATCCACAGTTTGAGTAAGACTTTTCTTTAGGCCATGAGCTTAATGACAAATGCAGATGTGTCACTGGGTACATGACGCATTATGCCACCACACCTTCCAATTAACTGAAAACACAGGCACTCAAGTCACTGGAAAGAACATCACTCCAATAAGGTATTTTCCTAGGAGAAACAGGTCATAGAAATGCCTGCGCAGCTGGGATGCTCAAAGAGCCCTTTTTTTATATTCCATGCAGATACTCAAACACTGATCAATAACAGATCAACAGAACTAAATGATACATTCACAAGAAACTGCTCTTTATACATATCTGTGGAAGAAG